TGACACATTTGTTATGAAAGTATATCGAATCCAAGGGAGTAAAGGTTAAGGTTAAGGACACCGAGATATTTTTAATAAAATCGATATTATATGAACACCTAAAGCCTTCCAAATTGGAAAATAATTTAAACTTGTTTTGTATTGTAGTCTATGAATCCTTTGAGATATATTCTCTAAGTAATTCATCTAAAATAGTATGGAACACTTTTAATTCAAACGTTATGTTTGCTTGACTGAGGAAAAATAAAAATAAAAATAAATGAAAAAAAATATATAAAAAGGACAGTAAAAGACAACTGCACCTACTAAGTTGGGTAACCCTTGCTCGGTTACTCAATCCAACGGTAGTTGATCCCCAATATCAAATATAAAAGTGTTTGTGAAATTTACATGTGTGAATAAAAGCAACTAGTCGGAGTAAGTGGGGTTCACTTTACAAAAAGTTTTCAGTCTCAAACGCTAGTTTGCATATGTATCATGAATAAGTGAATAAAAATAACAAAAACTCCTCGGTTACCCTCATGTGTGTGATAATCATATTTATCTAATTACCTTAATTTTACTATTTTGAATGAAAGGAGAACAAAATTGGATAATGGGACTTAAGTACAAATCCATAGTTTGAATTGATATCTAAGGAGGGAGTATTTAGTCTGTATTGTATGGCCCACTTTCCTACAATTCCCTTGGTGTTAAATTGAGTACAGAGGGAATTAACCTCTAGCCTATTTAAACTTAGATTCATGCACAAGTACCGACAATAACATTTTCACAACTTTCTTATTCATTGCATTGTTGCGTTTGAATGTTTTTCCTAGGCAACCCAAGTTGCTTGAGGACAAGCAACGATTCTAGTGTGGGAGGTTTTGATCACAAGTGTTTTTACCATTTTTATTTCCATGTGTTCTATGAGTTTTATTTTCACTTTAGTGCAAAAGTTGAATAGTTTTATTGTGTTTTAGATATATGGAAATTGGCGTCGATTGTTGAAGGAAACAGAAGGAAAAAGAAAAGAAAAATAAGAAATTAACTCCCATGATGGTTGGGTTGTCATCTTCCATGACGCGCGTCATAATCCTTAGAGAAAACATGGAGTCAACACTGATGAAGCCATGATGGGTGGACCATTATCCTACATGATGTTTGTCATATATTCAAAATATAAAACTACGCATCATGACAGATAGGGTCGTCATCAGGGATGATGCCCATCATGACGTCCAGACAACCCCATGTTCAAGTAGCTTCTAGCATTTTCTCTAGGAAAATTCTTTTGTTCTACGTGAGTTTTGGAGCTATCAACTGCAATTTTATTGTGATTAGAGATATAAAAACTGGACCATAACATATTGTTGAGGATTGAAGCATTATTATACTACCAAATTACTCTAAATTTCCATTGTAGTTTATGCAAGTTTGGAGCTTTTCTAGTATTATTGTTGTCATTTATCTCTTGCATTTCTATTTAGTTGTTGTACTTTTGGATTAAAATTCTCCCTAGAAGCATTATTAATTTCAAAATCATTTACTTTATTCTATATTTTATTCTACTTTTTTTATTATGAATGTTATGTATGGTTATTCTATTTGACTATTAAATATGCATGAGTAAATCAATTTGAGTTTGAGATATGAGGATTGTCATACTGGCGGACCTCATGAAAATTGTATCAATGTCAATTGTAACAAGAATGATATATTTGTTTTATAAGTTTTGTTTTCAAAAGGAAATATGTTTGCTACGAAAGTATAAGCACAAATATATCGTTTACATGTTGAAAGGGCTAATACAGTATCCGAAGAAATTCAAACGATATGTTCTGAGATTTGTGAAAGCAATTCAGAATTGATCGAGAGATTTCATTTACTTTACAAAATACTTTTGAACTTAAAATCTATATTGCAAAAATAGATATTTTGCAGGTTTAAAGTTTGATGACGCGCCAACGAAAGTGAGTGTTACCACTAGTTTTAGTATTTTCTACAAAAAGAATAATTCTCATTATAATCAATATAGAAACTCGTATGATTGAAATCGGAGGACAAGAATCAGTGTCTTGGACTCTTGTTTTTAATATTAGAAAATTCAAATATTTTACAATTTCATGCAAACAAACTACTCTTTCAGAAAGCCTTAGATATACACACAAATGATAGAGAACAATGATTGATCATTGGTCTTTGAGGACAACAATTTTTGTATTACTTTGCTATAGTTTTATACTTACGACTATTAGTGATTAATATGGACGTGGAATTTGATATAAAAAAATAATAATGGATGAATTTGGCTTAACTAATACAGGAGGGTGAAGGTTCAAGTCAAATTAGCACCACTCTTCAAGAAGATGGGCATGTAGTAGAAGTTGAGATTAAACAAACATAACCTCAAAAGGTGAAAAGATCAACTAGATCCATAACTCAATCAGTCGGACTAAAAGATTATGAGAGGTTTCCAGATTAATACATAAGATAAAACGGTGACCTAATTGAAGAAGCCATTATGTCGGAATCAGATCCAATTGATCATGTTCAAGCCATGAAAGATGAGAATTGGAAAGGTGCAATGAACGAAGAGAACAATGCCATTGAAAAGAACAAAGTATGGGAACTAGTTCAATATTTAAGAAAGAAGGCAATAGATATCAGGTGTGCTTACAAACTGAATTTGAAGCCAAACGTTGAAATTTCCAACCATATGCAACATTGGTGGCAAAAGGCTTTCTTCAAAAGCATGACATTGATTTCAATGAAGTTTATGCACCAATTCTAGAATTTAAACCATATGATTGGTTGTAGTTATTGCAACATATAGAGGTTGGAAGATGCACGAACTTGATGGAAATTCATTCTACCTCAGTTGACCTCTAGAATAAAAAGTTTATGTGAAACAGACACGCGATTTTGAGCTGAAAGAGCAAAAGAAGATGGTGTATAGTTTGAGAGAAGCTTTATATAGATTGAAGAAAACACCACGAAACAAGAGTATTGATAGCTTCTTTATCAAGCTAGGTTTCAACAAGTGCACATCAAAGTGTGAAATGATGTGAAAGACTCAAGTGAACAAGACTAAGTCATCCTATGACCCTATGTGGATAATCTATTGATCACATGTTCTAATGAAGATGAATTGAAAATTTTCAAAGCAAACATGGATAATGAGTTTGAGATGTCAGACTTAGGAAATTTGGCCTACTTCCTTGGAATGGAAAATGTGAACACGAGGCATGGAGTTTTATTGTGTATGAAGAAATATGCAGAATACATTCTAAAGAAGTTCAAAATGAGAAATTGCAATCCTACAAATGCACCTATAGAGACCAACATCAAATTGAAGAAGGAATCAGAAGATGAATTGGTGGATAGTACATTATAAAATAAGATCATTGGCTCATTGAGGTATCTTTACAATACAAGGTTTGATATTTGTCATAGTGTAGGACTAGTTAGTAAATTCATGGAGAAATAAAGGTTATGTCATCTAGTTTCAACAAATATGATCCTAAGGTACATTAGAGGGATAAATGACCATAGAGTACTCATGCCAAATCAACAAAACACAATAATTGAGGTCAATGTGTATGTTTATTCTGATTCGTATTAGAGTGGTGATCAAGATGATAGAAAGAGCATATGCTAGTTCATGTTTGAATTAATATCAATATAATGGAGTTCAAAGAAACAATAGATTGTAGCTTTGTCTTCATGTGAACCTTTTATGTTGCATGCCAAGAACTTTGGTTGGATGTGTTGCTTGAAGAGTTGAATGTGAGTAACTATGAGCAAATCAACCAAAATTCTTGGCAGATGATAGAAAAGAGATAACATTTTCTTAAAGATTAAATTGATAAATAGAGGTTAAACATTGAGAATTGAGTTGCAATTGTGGATATTTTAACAAACCCTTAAAACATGCATTATTTGAAGGGGTTAATGAGAATGAGAATATTGGTAAATCTAAATTAAAAAGGATATTAAAAATTAATTCAATTTATGTATATGATTGTTAGTAAATGTTAAAAAGTGTTGCAAGTGAAATTTACAATATAAGCAAAATGTCATAATTTTTCAATTTTTAATTAGTTAATTAGTTAGTACTTTCTTAATCTTATAAATAGGACTCTTATTATATGTGTATTCTAATTTCATTCTAATAACATCTCTTAATTTTTTTCTTAATTTCTTCAATTTGCAAGTTACCCAACATTTTCCACCCTGCCACTTGTTTACTAGTGACATTGAAGTTATTTTTAATTTATATAAAATAATTATTGATTTTAATTCGCACATTTGTTTATATATATATATCTTCTTAGTACACTAAATGTGTTAATACAACTATAAAGTTACAAATAGTTTAACATATAACTTATACTATTTTAAAATTGAAAATATAAACATAAAATATATATTATATTATCTAATAAGTCTTCTTTTATTTACAGAGTGATGTGTTATTAATATTAACCTTTTTTTAGAAAATCTATTGTTATAATAATAGAAAAGAATTGTTATAACTTATTTTCCAAGACTTATAAAATAAAAATAAATTTACCAGTATTTTTATGTGTTAAATTTCTGTCATGAATTTATTTAATTTTTTATATATAGATTAATCATTTGATTGACACTCAGGAAGATTTATCAATGTCTCATCAATAATCGAAGAATTTTGTGTGATGACTATGTCGATCACCGCTTAAATTTTAAAACATTGCTTCAGTTACACAAAATATAAAATTTAAATTTTAAAATATTGATATTGTAACTTACATATGAAGAATCAACATACATATATCATTTGATAGTTTCAGCTAAATTAGACTCCTAATGAATGTTAATAATTTTATCAAAATATCAAAATACATATAATAATGAAGAAAAATTGGACCATTTGACGATGAATTCATGGAGAATAACATGAACAAATAATAAAAGCTAGATTGAAAGGGTCACAAAAGAGCAATCTTTTCCTTCAATAACCCTATTGATGAAACAATTTAGAAACATTTCCTATGCACAATTGATGGTCCAGACTCATCATACTCAGCCTTTGCAATCCACATCTGCACACAAAGGAAAAGAAAGTTTAATGTAGTTCAGAAAAGTAGATGAATCAAATAAAATAACAGACCTGTTGGAAAGTGCTGAGGGATGCCAAGATAGAACCACCAATCCAGACACTGTACTTTCTCTCAGGTGGTGCGACAACCTTGATCTTCATGCTACTCGGTGCCAGTGCAGAAATTTCCTTGCTCATTCTATCAGCAATGCCAGGGAACATGGTTGTGCCTCCTGAGAGAACAATGTTGCCGTACAGGTCTTTCCTGATGTCAACATCACATTTCATTATGGAATTGTATGTAGTCTCATGAATTCCTGCAGCTTCCATTCCCACCATGGATGGTTGGTAAAGAACCTCTGGACACCTGAAACGCTCAGCGCCAATAGTGATGACCTGGCCATCAGGCAGTTCATAGCTCTTCTCAACTGCAGAGCTGGTCTTGGATGTCTCGAGCTCTTGCTCATAGTCAAGAGCAATGTAAGCCAGCTTTTCCTTCATATCCCTCACAATTTCACGCTCTGCTGATGTGGTGAAAGAATAGCCACGTTCTGTCAGGATTTTCATCAAGAAATCAGTGAGGTCACGGCCAGCCAAATCCAGACGGAGGATGGCGTGTGGAAGGGCATAACCCTCATAAATAGGGACTGTGTGGCTGACACCATCACCAGAATCCAACACAATACCTGCAAAAAATTAAGCAAAGCAAATCATCATTCATACCGTAAAAATTGTTATAAGACCAACCATGAATTACTCTACTCATGCTTACCAGTTGTTCGACCACTAGCATAAAGTGAAAGAACAGCCTGGATGGCGACATACATAGCCGGGGCATTAAATGTCTCAAACATGATTTGGGTCATCTTCTCACGATTAGCCTTAGGATTAAGAGGAGCCTCTGTTAACAGAACTGGATGTTCTTCTGGTGCAACACGAAGCTCGTTATAGAAGGTGTGATGCCAAATCTTTTCCATATCATCCCAATTGCTAACAATACCATGCTCAATTGGGTACTTGAGAGTGAGGATACCACGTTTAGACTGTGCCTCATCACCAACATAGGCATCTTTCTGGCCCATACCAACCATAACACCGGTGTGACGAGGACGGCCAACAATGCTGGGAAACACAGCACGTGGGGCATCATCTCCAGCAAATCCAGCCTGAAAATGAAGTACATTGAAATTCCAATGAATGTATCATCATCTAACATAAGAAGAAATCAAACATAATGGATGGTATGGTATTTTACCTTGACCATTCCAGTTCCATTGTCACAAACAAGAGGTTGAATATCCTCAGCGTCTGCCATCTTCTTCTAGAATGATCAGTTAAACGATTTTAATTAATTAACAGTTTATCAAACAAAAATGGAATTATTAAAAAATACTATTAATCAAACTGTGCGAATTTATCGATCCAGTTTCTTGATCCAGAAGAAATCTAAATAGAATGCGGATGGCAATGGCATTGCAGAAAATTGATACAATTATAAAAAGAAATAAGAAATTGACATGAAGGTGCATGCATACCTAGGTTGGATTTGGGGTAATAGTGAATGTGGTTGAAATGAAGATAACTAATTCAAACAAATGAATATAACAACCATCACACCCAATTGGGACCGTTGGAGAGAGGAGAGAGATGAGAAATTTACGGACTATTTATCTATCTATCACTCATTCATTCTTTCTCTACACACCAATCATTTCTATTTCTAATTTCACTCATCGAGTAAAATACGCATGTAATTTATCTTTAAGGTTAATTTCAGATAAAAAATAATCCACCACACAAAACTAAATCATCAACTGCATTCTTACTTTTATTTTCCTATAATTGCTACTAGTATATATTAGTATTTACATATATTAGTATTAAAATATTTTATTTTATTTTTGTACATTTTAACGAATAATTTTACTGTAGTTTTTCATCATGCTGCCCAATTTATAATATATTAGCTTATGTAGTATAGTGGTGATCATGTAACATTAGTTGAAGAAATTCACAATAATTAATGAAGTTATTTAATGCAGGCTTATAATGAAAGAAGTTGAACATGCTGAGAATATATTATATGGTGAGAAATGTGGGAATAAATGGTTTCTAAAAAAAATATGGGATGTTAATTCCATCGATGTTGTAGATTATGTAGTAAATAATAAAAATGATGCCCATTTATATGTTAAACTAGCCTGTTGTATAACAAATTTGTATTACATGATTTAAGATATTCAAAATTTTAAGTACCATAAGGATAAGGATATATTTAATAATAATAATAATAATATATAGTTTTTCTAATTAAATATATAATAGGTTCGATAAGGAACTAGATATCAAGTCGTCTTTGAGGGTATATAATACGATCTATAGTACATGATCTCATATTTTTTTCATTATTAAACTATGGTAAAAAAGACCTCCATAAACACATGATCTCATATTTTTTTCATTATTAAACTATGGTAAAAAAGACCTCCATAAACCTATTTCACGGTTAATTTACAATTAAATAGGATCCCTTAAAAAATTTCATGACTCAATTTAAGCTAACTTCAGCTTCTTATACAAGGTCTCTCAAAAGTTTGAGACGTCTTATAGAAGATAAGGTGGTGGAGTTATGGTCTTGTTGTGATTGAGCAATACTTTCAATGCGATTGAATGAGACTGACCTGTAAGGTTAACACTCTAATACCAAAGCCAACGAGATAAATGAGAAGTAATGTGTGGGTGAGAATGGATTTGAATAACTAGAATGGTGCATTTTCCCCTTATATATCAAGAACAATTGAAATTGTTCGTGCAAAATGCAACGTTATATGTAGACATTCATCTGATAGAATTGGACGATGATTGACGTGTTGGAGGACGAAATCCTCTAATCAGGTCAGGCTGAAGGTTTACCTGTTTTGTGCGTCTTTCTATTTTGATTTTGTTCTTGGGCCCTACGGGTGGCACTAAATAGTTGCCCCCAAGTCCTTGTTCATATTATGTGAATGAGGGCTTTGTTGTTCACACAATTTGGTCGGTTGTTATGTAGAGTAAGTGAAGAGTGTTGATGGGACTTCACTAGCATTGTGAAAAGATTCTTTAAATGTCCTTCTCTTGATCGGTGTATTTAGTAGGGAAGTTTCGACGTGTGTCCTTGCGTTTGACGATAATGATATTCTATTTGTCCTAAGATACTTAAGTACTCTGAATAATTTACAATGATATCTTGACTATTGGTGGTGTGGTCTGCGCTTCCTAATGTAATGGATCGTACAGTTCACCCATGTTAAGACATATATAAGGATTTTTGGAACTACTTATTTCTCTTTCTTCGTCATTGTGAATTTCTGAACTCTTTTCCTCTGTCGTTTGCAACTTCTTCTCTTGCGGGCATTCCTTCTACATTGTTCTTCATATTTTACCTATTTGTGCCACTCCTTTTGGTAAAATTTGCAATGTGTGGGACATCAACTTTGTTTCTTCGAGGTAACACCCATGTCTTTTTCTCTTCAATTCTCGTTTTCTTCATTAGGGTTTTGGGAGAAAGTGGGTTACGAGATTTGTGGTATTTTTGCTTTGCATTTTGATGAACTTATTTGCCTAGAAATACTTTAGCATAGATGTCAAGTTTACTTTTAAATCTTCTTTGGGATGATATTCGTATTTATTTCTTTTTAGGTGTTGACAGAACCTTTATAATGGAGAACTGTCAAACTAGAATTTGAAAAGCGATTAAGGACAACTCAGTGGTGAGGATGGATAAATAGATGTTAGATGACACCTCCACCTTTCCGGGTGTGGCTTGGACCATGCCTTTGTAGAGTTTGTATCTTCTTCGAATTAGAGGATGTTTCCCCTTGGATAAGATAAGAGGATATACAGTAAATATGATAGGTCTTCCATTCTTCTTCATGAATGCCTATTTTTTTACGCCTTCCTTTCAACAACTTTGAGGTTAGTGTTCTTAATCATTTATTAATCGCTCCTCGCAATTGCATCTGGTGAGTTGAGTTGAAGTCAAAGACTTTAAATATTGGTGCAAGTACAAGAAGGGAGTGTCGTTCGTGATGCTTTTCTTCCATATCTTTAAGGCCCAACACTGCTCCGCTGACTCTGTAATATCTCATATTCTCTTAAATGCTCAATTGGGTGTCAATTGAGGTCAAGAAAGTTCTTATGTACTCTATTTTTTGCAGTTAGAAAAACTAGAACTCCTAAATGCTCTAGTTGTTATCAATTAAGACTAATAGAGTAACTAGTGAATCCTGAAGAGAGGGCAATTATTAATAAAAGAGATAGATCAATATTAATAAGTGTAAGAGGGGACAATTTGGTAACATTAATTATTGGTCAATTGGTGTTAGATGATAAAATATCAAATGGATATGTGTGTGTGTGCGCCCGCGTGTGTTTGTGTGTTATATATTTATGAGAAAGAAGAAGAAAAGTTAGTAAAAAGAAAGAAAGAGGAAGAGAGAAAGAAGAAGAGAGAAAGAGGAAGAACAAAAGCTCTTGGATCATCATCATCAATTCATCTTCTTCTTTAACAAGGTGAGTTCCATTAGTTAGTGTAGTTTTGGGAGGGGAAAATACATGTTTGGGATTTAGGTTTTGTGTGCAGACATGTCAAATTGAGAATTGAATGTTGTTATATGATGAATTCCATGTTTAATCATGTTATACCATGTTTAATTAAGTGTTTGAATGTTGTTTGAACATGTGGGTGTGAGTTTTGGTCATGGATGTCTTCATTTTTGCGTTCTGCAGAATCTGAAAATCTCTTGGGCCGCTGTGCAAGCTTACGCGACCCCAAGGCAACCAATTTTCTGCTATGGTCATTGCGCGATCTTCAGCGAACGGAAAGCGAGCACCTCGCTTTGAGTTTGCTAGGCGACCATGGTGCAATTTCAGTTCTATATGTACCTAGCCATGAGTTTGCTGTGCGAATTAGAAAGCGAGTGAGCCTCCCTTCGCGGTCGTTGTGCGACCATGACAGATTCAGTTTTCCTATTTCTTGTTTTCTTCATAACTTGCGAATCGTAACTCGGATTGAGGCACGGTTAAAAGTGTGGTTCGTGTATCCATCGTAATTCATGAATCGGGAGTCTAATTAACATGGGACTTGAAGAATGAGAAAGATAATTCAAAGGGGATATTAAATGGTGATGTGATACCATGAATTAACTAAGGATGCTTCGTAGAGGATAGTAATGATCCATATGCCACAATGTTGTATGTGAAATACTTGTTTTGATTATGTGTGAAACATTTGTGTATAACTACTCGAATATGCCTAATATATATATATATATATATATATATATATATATATATATATATATATATATATATATATATATATATATATATATATATATATATATATATATATATATATATATATATATATATATATATATATATATATATATATATATATATATATATATATATATATATATATATATATATATATATATATATATATATATATATATATATATATATATATATATATATATATATATATATATATATATATATATATATATATATATATATATATATATATATAGGTTGGGTGTTGTTGTGTGATAACATGCTTAAAACACTATGAAGATGAGTGAGGAAACCTAGGATATAACTAGGTAAATGACTTAGAAAGATAATTAGGTTATGGAATTGACTTAGATGGTAATGCTTGGAGACAAGGGTGCCTTAGTGTGTACCATGGACAAATAGTCGCTAGAACGTACTTTAGTTATAAAATGTTCTGGACTGGGCCTGGGCATGGCCCACCGTCGGGCCCATCCCAATCTGGCTCAACTTCGAAGAAGGCCTAACACATACCCAATCCATCATAACCGTAAGAAAGCACGTTCTCCACGCGTTCTTCACACGGTTTTCACCTGAGGACACGTGGCCAGCTGATCCCGCGTTTCTCGTGGGAATATTCTGCCTTTCGTAATGGGCAAGTCGTCCACCTCCCAGAGTTTGTGAGGCAGTTGACCCCAAACGAAGACCATGTGCTGGTCTTCCCTACTTTCACGTAGGATCTTGGCAGTCATCTGTGGTGGGCCTAACGATCTAGCCCATAACAGGTGGCCTTTGACCCAGCGCTAGGGACTCTATAAATACCCTTTTTTAACAGAGGGTCAAGTATTTTGAATTCATTCTCACTATGTACTTGCTCTTTCTCTTTTCACTCTGAACCTAACTCTGGCATCGGAGTTCCTTGTAGGTGCACTCCCTCCTCTTCTCCATCACCGACAAATTTTGAGTCTACGACGTGTTATTGGCCACTAATTGAATCTC